GGGGAGCTGGCAGGGCCACCCGAGTGAGGCACTGACTTGGATGCTGCTACAGTTACCATGGCAACGACAGCATTCACTGGGATGCAGCCCAGCTCAGGCAGGGGCAGGAGAGGAGCCCTGTGCCCTGAGCAGCAAAGGCCAAGGGCATGACGCGGACTCCAAGATTCATTGATTAGTTCACTGACTCGTTCCTCCAAGTTCCTACGAGCACCCTCTGAGAGTAGGGTGCTGGGGAATCAGCGGAGAAGAGTGGGCGAGGTGCCCGCCTCGGGCCGCACATCCCCACAGAATCATGCTACTGAAAGCAGGAGCACTTGCCAGGCTGAGGCCCAGAAGAGCAGCAGAGCAGACGGGTGGTGGGGATTCTGCCCTTGGGAAGCCACCACTAGGGTTCAGACCACAGGTCTGCTACCAGATGTGTGAACCTGGCTAGTTATTACCACGTCTGGGCCTCAGTTTCCTATTCTGTAATTCCAGGGTGATAACAGGACCCACCCCAGAGATGGAAGGAGTTGAGACAGTACCTGGCCTGCTGAGCGCTTTCCACCAATGCTGAAAGCCTGTACTATACCAAGACAGTGCCACCTGTCCCCTCCCTTCTACCTCCACAGAGCCTAGGTCTAAAGCCCCCCAGAGACCCTGAGCCAGCCACCCGCTCAAGCTTGCCAGGATGGCTTCTAAGTGGGGCTCCTGTTGACCAGTCGGCTGCCCTGAGGCCACGGCAGGCCACCCTCAGGCCCAAGGGCATTGGCCCCGGCTCTGCCCCTGATCCCTCCAGCACCCTGGGCAGGTCACCATTTCCTTGTCTGGCTCTAGCCCCTCATTTCAGACTCCCACTCCTCCCGGCCTGGGGTCTGGGGGCTTGGCAGTCACACCTCAAGTGTCCTTGTGATCCTGGAAAGTGACACCACCATGTCAGCCCTCTGGTCTCCAAACTCCGTATCCAAGTCCCAGGGGGACTGGGGATAGGGAGGAGGGTCGCCTTTCACCTGTTCCATCCTCACTGCTGAGCAGAGAGACAGCTGCTTCTCCTGGGTGGACAGAAGCTGTCCAGGAGTAAGTGTTGGGTTCCCAGCAGGGAGGGGCTCCTGGGGTGCAGGGTGGGGCCAGGCTTTTACTGCCTGTGGATTCTGGTCACTGGAGACTGAAAGCATCACAAAAGAGAAAAGCAGGTCATCACTGGCCCTGCTGGGTTTCCTGGGGAGAGACGCCTTCCTCTAGGAGTTTCAGATTCGAAAGAGGGGGGTCCAGAGGAGCGAACTCACATCTACACCAGCAGGAGAGCCTGGGGCGGGTATCACCGGGCGGCAGAGAGGGCAGCCCATGGTACAAAGTTATAGGTAGAGAGGAAGAAAGAACTGTAGTATCCCATGGCACAGCAAGGTGACCTTGGACAACAGTGTTTCAAAATAGTTAGAAGACTTTGAGTGATAAATGATTGAGGTAATGGATATGCTAATTACCCACATTTGATGATCCTTACACAAATATGCATGAAGCAAAACATCACCTAGTACCCCATAAATATACACACTTATATATCAAAACAAAGATTAAAAACCTTAAAAAGAGAGATCCCTAGAGGAAAAGGATCATCACTTTGGAAAGTTCTGGATAAATTCCCCCCTGAGAGTTGAACACAGCAGCAAAATGCCCACCTGGAGTGTCTTCCAGGTATCGAGGAAGCGGCCTGCAGTGGGGGACCAGAGCCCTCTGCACAGGGGTGTCCATGACATACCTAGGGCACTGAGGATGCGTGGCCAGGCAGGGCTGGGCTCCGTGGAGGGGTGTTTGGGACACAGCCAAGGAGACAGGGGCCGTGGTCTCATGGGTAGGGGGCCATCAGCCTAGTGCAGTGCTTGGAGGGAGGAAGGGCCGGTCCAGACCAGGATGGTGAGCAGAGAGGCTCGGGAGAGCCGGCCAAGGCCCCTGAGGGGCGCTTCAGATGCCCACAGAGTGGGACTAAGATCCTGAGGGCGGTGGCCCCC